ACTATTAGAATTTTGGTTGCCAGTAATCCACTTTCTGTTAACATCTTGATGGGAGGGATTCAATTAAAAATTCTCAGTCTGAGCACCTCCCACCCCCTATAACCAAGAAAGGTGGTGCTATACTGATTATTTATTTTTTTCTCTACCCGGTGATTAATATATTAAATTAGAATCATTGATGTTTAGTTTAAGAAATTATCTGATGTGAGTAAGAGCAGTAGTACATAATGGTTAATACCTTTGGTCTGTTAATGTTTTAGGCACTCAGACCTCTGACAGTCAGGAAAATATTGACTAGATCTTATCAGCCTTTTTAAAACATAGTGATTTACTTTGCCAGCATTTGTATAGATCAGTAAATAGTTTTGTATTTATTTTTGGAATAAAGAAGATTCATCAAGCCAGAAATAAGTGCCTCTTACAGGTGAGTGGCCCCTTGTTAAAAATTAGCAAAGGGAAGTATAGGAATGTTTGATTGGGCAAGGAAGTTTACATAAACCAGTCATAATGAAAAGTCCTCCTTATTGAGGTGCTCTCCCCCACCCCAGCAAATTTCTTCTTGCTCACGCTTGTACCCTTTATGAACATCTGCTGTTGGACTTATGAAATTATATGGTAATTAGACACATAATTAGCGCTATGTCTAGACTGTCAACTTCTCAAGAAGCTTTGCCTCAATCATCTGGTCCCAGGCACTAGATCCGAGTGGTCAAAGAAGACAGACTTTGCAGGCAGACTGCCAGGATCCCATTTTTGACTCCATTTATCAGCTATATAATGTTGAGCAAGTTACCTGTCTTGGGCAAACACTCTCGAAGTATTACTTGGATTTTATTTGTAAAATAAAATTTTTTTAATTTATCTTAATTGTTGGGAGGTTTTAAATGTAGAGTTTTCTAAATTATACCTCTAAAACTATTAGGAAATTCTTTGGCATGAAGACATTTCATGTTTTTCTTAATGCCAGTTACTACTGATCAAAGGCCTTCCCAGGTGGCTCAGTGGTAAAGAATCTGTCTATAATGCAAGAGATGCAGGTTCTGTCCTTGGGTCAGGAAGATCCCCTGGAGAAAAAAATGGCAACCCATTCCAGTATTCTTGCCTAGGAAATCCCATGGACAGAGGTATTCAAAATAATGTAATAAAAATATGAAGTGAGGTGATAACCTAGATGGGCATGATTACTGAAGTAAAGATTATTAAGACAAATTCACCTCAAATTAATTGATATACAGCAAAACCTTGTATATACATATATGTTTTTTCTATCAGAGTCATATAAAAACAGGAAATCAGTGCTTTAAATGAAAAGGAGAGAGAGCATGGGAAATGGAGAATGTTGGGCATACAGTAGTCATTCCTTATCTGTAGTTTCACTTTCCAAGGTTTCAGTTACTCTAATCAGCTGCAATCCTAAAATACTAAATGGAAAATTCCAGAAATGAACAAATGAAAAATCCATAAGTTTTAAATTTTGAGCTGTTCTGATTAGGGTCCACTATCCTGCTGAGTCTTCCCAGGATGCGAATCACCCCCTTGCCCAGCGTATCCACACTGTGTTCCCACCAGGAGTCGCTTAACAGCCACCTTGGTTATCAGATCAGCAGTCTGGTATCACAGTGCTTGTGCCCAAGTAACCCTTTTATTATGGCATGTAATGGTTGTTCTATAATTATTATTGTTATTGCTCCTATGTATAGGAAAAAATAGAGTGTAGAGTTTGGTCCTGTTTGCAGTCTGACAACCAATATGGATGAGAGGGAACTACTGTATTCTTACTCATTCTTCGCTTTCTGTATCTCCTGCTGAGGCCAGCTTGATTAACCTTGAGAAAGAATAAGGCAAATTAGTAATTACAGTCATTCCTCAGTATCCATAGAGAATTAGTTCCAGGACCCCCCATAGATACCAAACTCCATGAATACTCAAGTCCCTTACACAAAATCACGTAGTATTTGCATATAACCTACACGCATGCTTCCCTATACTTTAAATCTCATTGTTCAAGTGCACAATTACATTAAATTTGTGTAACTTAAGGGAAAAGATACCTATACTACTCTTGAGATCATAGGTTGTTTAAATTTTAATAATTCTTAATGACTTTCTGTGTTTTTAATTTAAACTACTTACTGAAGAAGTTTTTTAATATTACATTCCCTAAAATAAAATCAATTTTGTCCTGAAATACAGGTTTTAAACCACAACAGTCTATTTTCTTTGATTATCTTATAAACGACAGGAGTTTCACATCAGCTCTCCTTCCTCCTCCACCTTTTTTTCCTTTTACTTTGTGCCAATCACAGGTGGATGCTCAATATCACCCCACAGCACAAGATAAATAAGCTTGGAAGGTTTCCTAGCAACATATTGTTCTGGGAACCTGCTCTATTTTCCTGAACAAGATGAAGCCAAACATCCTAGAATCTCAGCCAGATGGGAAAGGATTAGCTTACTGAGGGGTGTTTAATTCATTTTAAAAATATTTCCCTTTGAAATGAACCTCTTAACATAAGTAACAAGGTTGACTTTTAAAAGGACACTCTTTTACATGTTAACAAAAACCCCTCAGTCATAAATAGTTTCAATTGAAAAAATACAGTTTTAGAAGAAATTCTCTAGAGACAAGCTTATAATATGTAATTGACTTACTGGTGAGTGAATCCATTTCAGAACCATATAGAAAATGCTTCCTCCTAAAACTGATGTTCCTGGGCTTCCGAGGTGGCACTAGTGGTAAAGAACCCACCCGCCAGTGCAGAAGACAAAAGAGACTTGGGTTGGATCCTTGGGTTGGGAAGATCCCCTGGAGGTGGGCATGGCAACCGACCCACTCCAGTATTTTTGCCTGGAGAATCCCCATGAACAGAGGGGCCTGGCGGGCTCCAGTCCATAGAGTCACAAGTCAGACATGACTGAAGCGACTTAGCATGCATGCAAGACTGATGTCCAGTCTGGTACCCAGTGGTGCCAGTATTCAGCTACACAAAAATATTTACATATTGTTTAATACTTCCTTCCCATCTTGTGGGTAAGTGGCTGCTGGAGTAGGCTCCCTCCTCCTCACAAATCCTTTCACTTCTCCCCTTGACCCCTCCTCCTAGGGACACCGGGGAAACCCCTCTCATGGCTTAAAATGCTGGGACTTCTTCATTTTTCTCCCCAGCTTCAGGCGACTGCAGTTCCAGTGATCTGTCATTTCATCTTGAGAATCTGTTTTTGGTTTTCAGAGTATATGATAAGTACAGAGAAAAGAAAACTGGATAAAATTGTCCTTCTCATAGTCAAGAAATATAATGTTGCTGTTTTGTTAGTACATGATCATTTATATTTCCCTCCTTGTTCATCAGTGATCTTAAGGCCATACAGTTGGCAGGTGGCATTTTTCTGCCTTGTGCTCGACTTGGCCAGTGTATTGTTGAAGTCTCTGGAGACGGAGTAGTAAAGATTAGAGTTTCTTATGCCAGTATTCAGTAATGGTTTTGCAATTCAGTTAGCATGCTGGAAAGTGGCCTTTCTTCTTGTCTTCCTGGGTAGGCAGTCCTGTCAGCCAAATGAATATTGTCGTCGTGTGATTGTTGAATGATTTACACTACCTGATGGGCTTGGACTGTGTGAAACTTCCCAGTTGTGATAAAAAGCAAACAATTTCAGTACTCGCAGTGTGCTTGGATGGGAGAACAAAGTAACTAGAATAACCTAGTGTCTTTGCTTTTTATTTAACAAATTCTCTGACCAGATTCGAGAGAATTGAAACAATCCTTATCCCAGGAAACCATAAGTTTATTTTATTTTCCTTCTGCTGCTTTCCATCCTCTCTGTCGCCCTCTCACACACACACACACACGTTTTCTAAATGCCAGGTTTTGAACTTGACAGAAAGCAATCTGTTGAGGGCCTCCTAGGGGCCAGTTACTTTGGTAGTTGTCATGATGGAGGCTGAGTAGCATCAACACATGGCCCTTGCCTTCACTGAGTCCCCAAGAATTTAGCCAAGTAACACACTTGTTTTCTTTTTAAAACTTCAGCTTCATGTTAGGACCTAAACATTAAAGGGAGATTTTGATGTTTAAAGGAATTCTGTAAATTTTGATGGTTCAAGAATAACCTAAAAGTAGACTTAGTCTGTTATATAAAATATATGACAGATTATAATGGATTAATTTTTATAATATTTTCTAGAAACACTGTTTTTAAAATCCCATGAACCAGGCATTACTTTAGATACTTTATGTTATTTAATTCTCTTGACAGCCATTATGAAATAGAAATCGTTTGCCTATCTGTTCTAGAATCTGCTTTCTCTCTGGTATATAGGTTCCACTAAAAATTTTTCTTTGTTGCTCAGTCTTTTTATAAAATAATAATTATGATTTTTAACATGGCAGAAGAATGAATTTTACTTTAAGAAAAGCAGTTAACAGAAGTAATAGCACTGTTAAATACGTTAACAAGAGAAAGGGATGCTTTGCTAGCAATGCTGTAGAACAGACATGGACCAACTACAGCTCATTTTGGTAAATAAAGTTTTGTTGGAACATGACCACACTCATTTGTTTGCATAGCACCTATCTGCAGTTTTTGTATAGTAACAACAGTGGAGTTGTAACCTAGACTGTTTGGCCCACATGGCCTAAAATATACACTATTGGGACCTTTACAGAAAAACTTTAGAAGTGAAAGTGTTAGTCGCTCAGTCATGTCCGACTCTGGACTGTAGCCTGCCAGGCTCCTCTGTCCATGGAATCCTCCAGGCAGGAACACTGAAGTGAGTAGCTATTCCTTTCTCCAAGGGATCTTCCCCACCCAGGGATTGAACCCAGGTCTCCTGCATTGCAGGCAGATGCTTTACTGTCTGAGCCACCAGAGAGTCTAGATTTCTACCCGGCATTGAGTCAGGTGTACTCCTTTGGAAAGCCAGAGACTTCATTGGGAAACACATCAGAAAATGGTTTCCTAAATGATTTTTTCCTAACTTGGTTTTCCTCTCAACCCGGCAGGTACCAACCAAGAAGCTAAAGAAATATGAGAAAGAATATCAGACAATGCGAGAGAGTCAGCTGCAGCAGGAAGACCCAATGGATAGATACAAGGTATGGGAGACCCATGTCACCTGTCTGAGCCAATATCTTCTTTCCCCTAAAGCCGCAAGTGGGGGACATTTGTTCCCTCTATGCCTTCTTGATTGATGTTAACTCTGACTTTGCTCAATGTCCAGGTATGTTTTCATCTCAGGAGACTCCTGAGTAGCCGAACATAATATTTCTTTTCTTTCAGTTTGTATATTTGTAGGTAACTTCACCTGTTGCATTTATACTGGGAGTCTTCATAAGAAGCTGAAAGAAAGGGAAAAAGAAAAGAGAGAAAGTGGCTATCAACTACTTTCAAAAATGAGAAAAAAAAAAGAAAAATGGCAAAGTACGGTTTTAGCTGTGCACGGTCACATCCACAAAGACTTTTAGAAGGCGAACTGTTCCAAGACTGGTACAAGGATGTTTCAGACTTACCCCTGTTTGTAGCCAATGTTAAAGATACAAACTCATTCAAAAGTAAAAAAATAAAAACCACACAGGTATATTGAGCATAGTCATGGTGTTTGTTGCAACATTTATTTCCATGAACAAATTTATAAAAAACAGTGACATTTCATTACAGAGTTCAGTTCCAAAATCAAAATGATTCAGTTTAATATCCCAGTTAGTTGCAGTATTTTTTAAAAATTGGGCTGGTTATAATGATGTCCTCAATGGCAATTAGCAACAATTTCCATAAAGCAGTGTTGGGGAAATACTGACTCCAACCTTACTTTTTTCTGACTGAAATATTAGTGTCTCTCTTCAGCATGTTTTAATTCTTCAGATTCCTACAGACTTATAATGATTCCCTCTCCACATCAGTACATCAGGATAAGAGAATACTGTATTCATACACTGAGTCCCAGCAATGCTGAAACAACTTGGCTAAAAAAAGGACTGTGATGCCGTTGTTAATTAAACCACTGACTGTGAGATGACTTCCACTTCTGTAGCTAGAGTTGCCTTTATGCAGTCAGAGAGCTGGACACAGGCCGCTGCAGCCGCGCAGTCTGTCTTGTTTCTGTTGCTGAATTGGATAGCATGGAACATTGACACAGAGGAGTGGTGGAAGGCAGTATGGATTCGGTAGTCAGATCTGAGTTCAAAACGTGAATTTCTGAAAAAGAAGACAGGATTTGGAGTCCCAAGTTGAGGGTTTTAACCTCTGTGCCACTGTTCAGCATTTTAGACTAATTATTGGACCTCTTCTGCATCTGTAAAATGTGTAGTATACACGTTTCCTTGAAGGATTGTTGTGAAGATGAGGTACGTTGTATGCGAAGTACCCAGCACATAGTTGGTGTTCAGTAAATGGTTGTTATTAGCCTTATTAGGCCTGCTGCCTCAAATTACCCAATTATTACTAGAATAATATCCCCTTAATTTGTGTCTGCCCCACCAGTCCCTCACTTCTCTTTCTCCTATTTCTCCCAAGTATTGTTAACCTAATAATCTAACATAAGTATGTTTTTCCCTTTGTTTATTAAACTAGCTGACAGTAGAATTCCCACATACTGCTATGCAGATAACTATTACCATATAAAGTACTCATAGTTGGAAGCTAATTTCCACCGCTCAATAAAACCAATTTTAATGTAGCTTATGTAGCATGCTGCTGTAGAAAGCTTTGAAGTAGTAATTATAAAATATTTTTAAGAATCCAAAATGAAACTCTCCTGCTGCTTGCATCATTCTGATTTTCTTATTGCTGCCATCATTCTGAGTGAAGTCTGGGAAGGGTTCTTTAAATAGAAGACAGGGAAATGAAAGACTAAAATTGTGTATTCAAATTCAGTCTGGAACTGAGCTTGTTATTGTTTCTTAATATCCTTTTTATGTCAAAGCAGGTACGTATAAGTGAATAGTACAATGCATATTATTGTTTTCTTAAAAAGTGACTATCACACATATACTCTTGATGTGTACAATTTTTACTGAGAAGTCAAAGTAGAATTAAACTTATTTTTGCCCTTTGTTTTGAACAAAGGTACTTTTCAGCTTAAATGCTCTATTTATGTATATAAGATATCCTCTATAGTTTTTTTTGTGTTATTATAATAGCTTGCTAATGCATCATTCAGCTAATATTCCTATACCCTTTTAATAATGTCTAAAAATTTGTACTGGAGATAAACTTGGTAAAGTTATGGTCCTCACATCATAATTACATTTTCAAAGTGACAGTGGAGCACACGGTGTTCACCCATCAGATAGTCAATATCTAGTTTAAGAAACTAATTACAGTTGTATTCATTAACTTAGGAAAGTATCTTAGAAAATACATTTTAGCATCTTATAGATTTAATCCTGTCAAGGGTAAGATCTATGCCCTGGGCATAAGCACTTTACAATTCATTGTTCATGTCCAGGAACTGGGAACCTAGATATGAAAATTCTCAAGAATATCTTGGGGAAGATCTTTGAAGGCATTGACTCAGAACTTACACAGTTCACTAACAATCCCTCCTCTACAGTTAGGATCTGTAGTGTTTAAAATGCCTTGTTTACCCCCTAGTTTGCCTCCTAGCTTAATTCAAGAGAATTAAGAAGGTTGTGTCGATTAAAAACAAAGACCCAGAAATGTCATACCTTATGATATTCCAAGAGATTGTTTTTCAGCTTGATACTGTTTCTCTTGGGCATGGTGGGGTACTGAAAGAGCTGTTTCAGGGAAACCAGACATGGATTTAAAGATCCAACAAAGTAGAGATAACTTGCGGCACTCACATTCTTGCTGTGTCTATCTAAACATGTGTTTTGTGTCTATTTTTATGACATATGAAAATGTCTACTCTTGAGGTTATGTCAGCATACTCACCTGTACCTAACACTTGATGAAATGGCGTCGGTATAAATTTAAATTTTGGAACCCTAAGCATAATGCAAATGTTCTGGAATTTGATAATGGTGACAGTTGTACAACTTTGAGAATGTAGAATAACCACTGAATTGTACATTTTAGAAAGATGAATTTTTGATATGTGAATTATATCCCCCCCCCCCCACCAAAAAAGACCTGCCAAGCTAAATGTCCCAAGAGAATTAACATCTATCTGCCTGACATGTTTTTTTCATAAACCTCAGTCATACCAGAGGTACCTATGCAGGAACCATACTTAAAGGAGGGAGGTCTCCTGTCAGAATTAGAGTTAATCAATGGCTGTAGATCCTGTATGTCCTCATATTTATAAGGGAAAGGCCAGCCAACAAAAGTGGGTGATGCATTCATCTTTATATGGGTGTGTGTGTATGTTTATATACTTACATGTATGCACATAGAGAAAACCTATAAATAGGTAATGCACATGTATGCACAGTGCCTGTGCTACCTGGTCTTGGAATAAGTCTGTATTTGAAACTCAGTGAGCTCTATAATGACTGCTTACAGCCTCTGGTGAACTCTTTCTGTTTTATCTTCATGATTAGATTCCAAGATACAGAAAGGAAACTTTATTGGAAGAAGAATGTACAGTAATTATTATAAGCCTCTTTTATTATCCTTCTTAAGTTTGACCTGGCCGGATTTGTGTAGTGATTTTTATTTGCTCTGATGTTTTGGTTTCCATATTTATAAATTTCAGATTAAGTGAAATACAAGATAAAGAGTTGTCTGTAAAAATACATCATGTATACTTTCATCTGGGGATTTATACAATCCCCAGAAAACAAACATTCATGGATATGTACAGCTGTTTTAGTCATTTTAAAAATTAGTAGCCAAGCACCTAATAGGTGGTTATCAAGTTCAGAAGTTAAAATATTGTTTTTTATTTTAAGATGATGAACTGTTTTCGTTTGAGGGAAGTTAGTTTTCTAATGATGTAATTATTAATGGCAATTTTAGAGAACTACAGCCTTCATCTGTCTTTAGAAGATGATATGCTTTTCTTGTTTAATTAAAGAAAGAACTACTTGTACAAATGTGAGTTAAGCCTTCAAAAAGCACAGCTAATTAATTAAATTCAGTGAATTTCCCAAAGTGTAATGAAGGTTATATTATTACCTATTCTAGTTGGGCAAATCCTAGAAAGAATCAGGAATGTTTAAAACTCTCTTGGGTTTTGGGAGAGAGTATTATAAATACATAGTTTCTAATTGAAGGATCTTATCTATATTCAGTATAATTAAATTTAGAATGTTTAACTTCTTTCTTGAGGTTAGACATAGTACATTTTTTTCTTTTTTAACTAAAATGGAATTCAAACAGAAAGAAAATGACTCCTGTAATTTCACAGAAGGTTTTACTTGCCCATACTAATTTTTGTAGAGCAGTTGTCCCTGCATGTAAATTAAAATTAAGCTGTTTAATTATAAATAGTACAAACAAGGTTTTATAAATAAAGCTTAATTTGTATTTGTATTATTTCCTATCCTTACATATCCAAGGAAATAATTTACAACAGTGATCATATTTTGTTTTTAAATTATGCTAAAGTTTAAATTATACTAACCATATCTGGAAAAAAATGATCCTCACCCCCACCCCATTTTGTTTTGTTTTGTTTTGTTTTCGTATTGGACCCTTCCTTACTCATAGAAGTTAAGAGAAGTGTATCCATCTTTGAAAAATGTTTTTCATCCAGTGAAAATAAACATTTTATTATTTTTCACATCACAGAGATGTTACTGGCTTTTGGAAATATTTGTTATGAAATCACATGCTTTTAATGAATAGTGATAATCAAGAGGATGGTTTCTATCTATCTGTGACAACTTAATTATAAACCTCAGATGGCTGCCACTCTTTTTCTTTTTGCTCTTGGCTAACGCATGCACTCACTGCTGTAGGATGGTGGAGAAGGCAAACCTAAGCTCTCTTGATGCTTCTAGAGCCACTTAGCTAAGAAGGAGCAGGTGGTTTCTGATGATGCTTGTCTGCTGATTGAGTTGTACTTAACAGTCAGGAGAGATATAAAGGTTATGCATATTAAGAATTTCTCAGTATGTTTATCAATGGTCTTTAGAATTAATGCTCCAAAATTTTTCTTCAATTTTTAGTACGTCTTGTTTCCTGTTAGAGGAGGATGACTGGAAAATTACATCACACTCCTGTTTCTACATCATCTGTAACCCATTTGCTTTTTAAAAATTTGATGTATACGCTAGAGTAGTAGAGAGATTTATAAACCATATGGCCTGTGGGCCAAATATGGCCCACTGCCTGTTTTTGTAAATAAAGTTTTATTGGAACACAGCCACATGCTTATTATCTATCACTGTTTTTACACAACAATGGCAGAGTTGAGTAGCTGCAACAAAGACCATATGGCCTACAAAGCCTAAAATATTTACTGTCTGGGCATTTACATTAAAAGTTTGCTGACCCCTGTGCTAGAGTGTAATCTAAGATGGTTCTTAAATGCTAAAAGAAATTCAGTCTGGTTTGCCAACTGCCAGTTAGTTACTACTGACAAGATTTTCTCTTTAGTTTGACATTTAAAATTGTTTAAATTTCCACCAGAAAGATAAAACTGGCTGTGTTGGGTGAAAGAAGAGGATGAAATGGTTTCAGATATCCAGATTTGCTTTCTCAAATCTCATCTACAATGTAGACATTTAAACATTTTTGTCTGTAGGCATTTGTCTTTAAATGTCAAAAAACTGATGAAATTTTAATATGATGACTATCAAGGCTTTTGAAAGAGGCACCCAGAAGAAGAAAGGTGAGAGTTGAGTGTGTTGTTGCTAATAAAATTGCCCTGGGTCTTTTAGGAAAACATTTCTCTGGACCCTGGAATGTCTTTAAAAGCATGTGCCAAGAATTCATTATAGCAGCAGACAGCAAGCACACCCAAAATACTGAGCTAGAGTTTATAAAGCCTCCTCCTTCTCCATCATTTTTTCCTTTAAGGCTGAGTTTATTTTCTTCTGATTGCCAGTTCACATTTCTCTGGTTTCTCATCTTGGAAAAAATCACTTTCACCATTCATTATACTGCTTCACCCAAACTCCAATCCCCAGACACAAAGGAGACCTGGGACCTCCGTTTTTCTTTCTCATTTCCCTGACCAACAATATAATTCCATTGCCTGAAGATGAAATATTTTGCAAGGTTGCTGGCTTTGTCATGCCTGAAGATGAAATATTTTGCAAGGTTTCTGGCTTTATCATTGAAGGAAGTTCCTTCCGCCCAGTTCTTAACAACACAGTGTAAACAACTCACACCCTAGTTGCAAATAGTTCCACAGACAGCATTTGCATCAGTCATGCGGACTGCAAATAGCAGTGTGGAGAGGGAGGAGTTTAGTGTATCACTCTTCGCTCCCATTGGCTGCCTCAAGTATAATTTCTTCCATCAAACGTTAGCTGTCCTGGAGAGAGCATAGAGTAAATGACACTCTAAGGAAAAACAACAGAGCAAAATAGCGTTACCAAGTGTCTGTTTTTTGTTATCACCATTTCCTAATTGTATTAGTAGGTGTGCAATTTCATTGGATATTCTTTTTTTTTTTCAATTGTCTTTGTACCTATGATTGAAAACGATAGTTGGTCTGTGACTTTTGAGGAGGTAAGTTTTTTTTGTCTGTGTGTGTCTGTAACATCAGCGTCTGTCTCTCCGAAAAATGCAGTATCCTCCTCCCCCAAGATACTAATCCAACTTTCCTGGTTACACATCTCCTATGCAGGAGGGGGCAAAACTAAGGAAAAAAGTTGCTCTCTGCTTTTTGTGCACATGTTGTTAATTGTGTGACATGGAGGAGGTTTCCAAGAGTGTGATGTAAATTTGCAGGGTTATGTAAGCCTTGTCTCCTGTAGTCTTTTCCGAAAGGCAAGGGAAGCGATTTGCCTGTGTTGTCTATGGGCTCTGAGCGGTCAGCACATCTGCTCAGGCAGACATGTGGCATATGAGCATTTCTGCTGTGGCTGAGGTTAGGGGGCCACTTCAGTCTTTCTCTGGTGGACACCCTTGCCAACATTTCAGAGTGAACCAGGCAAGATTACTACCTTTCCCAAAGCTAACCTATCTTCTTTAGTATAAAGGCAAACTGTTTCTTGAATCAGTCAGTTCTAAAAACAGTTTTGACTCCTCGGAAAGGCTGGAAGAGACAGCCAAGTCTTTAACCCGTGGTAAGTGTGGGCAGGTTCTTCTTCATGGAAAATCTCCATCTGACCACCCCCAGGTTCATACTTTGGAGGACGATACTGCATTTTTGGCCCCAGAGCTTGCTTCTCCATGTGTCTGTGAGTGCAGAACAGGAGTCCACACTCCCCACCGTGCTGCTTGCTTTGCAGACACTGAACTGAAGCTTCTTGCTAGAGCAAAAGCCAGTAGACTTGCCCCCTAGGCTATTTTGCTTTTTAGGGACCCCTGTGTGTGTGTGCTCAGTCGTGTCCAACTCTGCAACCCCAGGAGCCAGCTGTAGCCCACCACATTCCTCTGGCTGTGGGATTATCCAGGCAACACTACTGGAGTGGGTTACCGTTTCCTCCTCTGGGGGATCTTTCTGACCCAGGGATTGAACACACATCTCCCACTTTGGCAGGCAGATTCTTTACCGCAGCCGCCTGGAAAGCCTAACAGGCCCTCAAACACCCGTAATTTCTCCCAGATCCTCCCTTTCCATCCCACTCCCTGGGCATTGTGTCAAAGGTTCGAGTGGTGACAATCATGGTAATAGGAAGTGGCCGGTCAAGTTTCAGCTGCGCTCATACCTCTTTCCTATATAGCATAACCCATCAGACATTTATTTCTAATCAATAGTGAAGTAGCTACCTGGTGTGTTTTTTAAGTTCTTTGAACAAAGTGTGTGTCCACTAGTGTTGTATGCCTTTCATGTGAAGTGAAACTGAAAGTCGCTCAGTCCTGTCCGACTCTTTGTGACTCCATGGACTAGTCCATAGAATTCTCCATAGCCTTTTCCTCCTCCAGCAGATTTTCCCACCCCAGGAATCAAACCGGGGTCTCCTGCATTGCAGGCAGATTCTTTACCAACTGAGCTATGAGGGAAGCCCCTTACCTGGAGGTTGTTTTAGCTTGGTTCTAAGCCTCTGACACTAACATGAAAAACTGGTAGCTGCAACATTTCCACTTGTGCCAAATTAATGCAATGTAAATAAATACTGGAGGGAGCTCTTTGTGCCTTGGAGACCTCCAAGTGCAACTTCAGGAGAAATAGGACACTTGGGAATAGGTATTCAAGTCATCTTACCGTGGTCTCTTTTGAAGGGATTTATCAACAAATGAGAAAAATCTCTTCCCGGCCTGAAGCATTCTGCCTTGTGAAACATGTTATGATGAAATTGTGCTGGATATTGCTGCTGCTTTCTGACAAGGAGGGAGTTTATTGGAAAAGTTTCTGAACGATATTTTTTTAATCTAAGTTTCTACCCAGTGTGTAAGTTGTACCCACAAAAAGGGGTCATAGTTTGGTAGATCAGAATGAGAGACTAATCTCTATTCCCTGCTAGAATTTGGATGACTTCAGCACAGACTGAAAGATTCAAGGGTAGACACATACAGTATTTGATGGGTATAATTTTCCCGTACAAATATGTACACTGTCTTTTCAGTAATACATCTTGGGGAAGGGTTCCTGGAAAGATGGCAGTTTTGAGGGATTCCATTGTATCTTAGTCACAGATATGCACCCATTATAGTTTCACATAGCTTCTATTAGGAGTAAACTTTTAAAAAGTTCTTGTTTTGGCATTTTATCCTCTCCAATGAAATTGATATTCTGAATTACTTTTTATTTTTTAACTTTTTAAACACATGTATTATAAATTTATTGTAGACAACTTGGAAACATTAAAAAAAAAGACAACAATAATAATAATCCACTATCCACAGTTAATATTATTTGTGTTATCATAAAAATGGGATTTTCTAGTTACTTGTCTATCTTTTTCCCCCTGAGATGACATACAGGCTACCCCAGTGGGCCAGTGGTAAAGAGTCCACCTGCCAGTGCAGGAGAAGCGGGTTCAATCCCTGGGTTGGGAGGATCCCCTGGAGAAGGAAATGGCAACCTGCTCCAGTATTCTTGCCTGGGAAATCCCATGGACAGAGGAGCCTGGCGGGCTACAGTCCATGGGGTCACAAAAGAGCCAGACACCACTTAGCGACTAAACAGCACATTAATACATACAGATAGCATGCAGATTTCTCCTGTCATTAGATATTTTTTACTTATGTGTTAACACTCTATTGGGATTGTTTTCTTTTTCAGTAGCTCTCTTTTTCAAAAATGTTTTGACTGTTCCCAACTATCCCAGTCTGTGTTTTCCAAAGGAAAAGATAGAAATGGGCCCTGTTGACTGAGCGCAGTCAAAGTGCAAGTTTGTTCTTTGGCTTCTCTGCTGGCCCTGTTTTTGGATCTTCTGCCTCCATAAAGAGTCTCAGGCTTTGTCCTTACCGTCTGTTTCTTAGCCCATTTCTAAAAGACAGAAAGAAAGAAGTTAGGTTTTCCTCTTTTCAAGTCCAGGTTGTTCTATAGAAGATAAAATTCACTCTCTGCCCCTCCCTCTCCTCTACCCCTCTGCCCCCCACTCCAGTCTGATACACCGCCTTCCAGGGCGCAGATTCGTCTCTGGTTGCGCAACACTGCTTTGTCTTGAGTTTTTGCCGCGCTTGCAGAAAACGATGTTAGGAGTGTAAATCTGAAAAACAGGAAGGTCTCATCACATTGATGTCTTTCCTGTCAGCTCTCTTTTGAATCATCTGTAACTGCTAACAATAGCAAAGACAGCACTTTTGATACTTTGAAATGGAGGACACTAAATTGCTCTTGGGAAAATAGAGTGAGTGTACACAGTTTATAATGACTGATTAAGGGGAGTCCATGCTTCATAAGAATGAGTGACTTGCTTCTTTCATCATAGAGCTGTTTCACATTTTTTTCTGGGAGTTCAAGGGAAAAAAAAAACCAACTCAGCCATTTATTTTACCCAGAATCTTTTAATTTGAAGTTTTGTTTTTGTTTTTTTTTTTTAAAAGCAAAACAAACTTTGAGACATTATCATAAAGACTGTTGCTCATACCAACAAAGAAATTGGCCTTCAAAAAAGTAAATGCCTTCATATCCAAAAAGAATGAAAATATCAGTTGATAGCAAAACAGACCAAACTGTGTATCTTAAATATACTCAATTAATTTAAACCCTGAAATGGGAAAAACATTTCAGAGAAATGCCTAGCGGTTTTCGCAGTTTCATCCCTACTGTCGTGCAGTTTCCTTTGTGGTCCAGGGTGGGATTATCGTGCATGTTTCCAGCAAAGACTTGCCTGTGTCTGTGTTCTGGGTCTCTATGAAAATCTCACAGGATTGGGGGTAGCTTTGGAAAGTTTGCTTTTCGTGGCATGGTTTTTATGATGAAGCCCTGTCTAGGGGGCTGACAGGGTTGTAAGTTTCACTGGGTAGAGTTCTGCAGCTGCACCGCTCGCTTAACCCACCGTTGTTTCCCAGACAGCAGTCCTGCCTTCCTGTGCCACTCGCGCCTTCTCCTTCTGACACTTTCAAAAGTTCACTTTGTTGTTTTTGTCGCTTGTCTTTCCTCACCAGCTCCATCGGTGTCTGATAGTACGTCCAGGCACTAATGCCCACCTCTGGCTATTGCTCTTTTTCTGCAGAGGGAGAACCGGAGATTACAGGAGGCCAGCATGAGGCTGGAACAGGAGAATGACGACCTTGCTCACGAACTAGTAACCAGCAAGATTGCTCTGAGGAATGACTTGGATCAGGTAAGCCTGGTTTCACGAGGTAGAAATAAGACTGTGGTGACGTCCTCCAGGGCAAGGGCCAAGTTACTCTCAGAGCAGTCCCACCAGGGCTTGCTCTGTGCTTGATGCGAGTCAGCTGCTTGACGGGTGAATGGGTGGGCGGCATGCGAGAGAGTGGCAGGTGGGAGGGGACTGTTGTGTTCCTTGGAGATGGTGAAAAACACAAGCCTTTGGGGTTTCGGTCATTTTCAAACAGCGTGTGTAAGATACTTAAAAAAAAAATAGCTCTAAGCTTCTCTGGTGTCTCTCCTCTTAATCTCTTGTTTTAGTCACTAAGTGGTGTCTGACTCTTTCACAACCCCATGGACTGTAGCCTGCCAGGCTATTCGGTCCATGGGATTTCCCAGGTAAGAATGCCAGAGTGGGTTGCCATTTCCTTCTCTGGGGAATCTTCCTGACCCAGGGATTGAACCTACGTCTCTTGCCTTCTTCACCACCGAGCCAGCAGGGATGCCCTCTTAATCTCTTCTCCTAAACCATGGACTTACAGCATCATTACCTGAAAATAACAGTCACCAGGAGTATATTAATGCCACTCTTACATTTTATAGTTACTATACTTTTTGCTCCAAGATTTCTCATCTATAGTAAACGTGAGGATTTTATATGAAGCTTGTACATTGAGATATGTGTATTGGTGGACTGACAGGCATCCTAGGGGCAGAGAGCCAGGACTGCCTGGGTGTCAATCCTGGCATCACCACTCACTAATCACATGACCCGGGGCCAGCCTTAACCTGCCTGTAGGTTTCAAAAAGTGTTTCCCTCGTAGGGAGGATGTGAGAATTAAATGAAGTAAAGCACTACAGTAGTATGTGTTCAATAATCATTAGCTGTTGCTAGGAAGCCCTTAAATTCTTTAACTTCCTCGTCCTTTCCAACAGTACTCATAGTTTTAGGACTTCTTGTTTTTCCATTGCTAGTGTCTTTGGAAATAATTGGCAATATAGAAGGAATCTTGCACAGTTTTAAAATCATTTTAAAATCATCACTATTTTCTAACTTTTAAAATATGAGTATTCCCAATGGCGCAGGGTCAAACAAGTTGAAACTTAGACTGGCTGAATCTGTTAAAAAAAATAAAAAAGGCTCTACCTGTACTCTAAGTATGCATTGGTAATATTTAAAATACAGATCCATTAATAATATAAATATGATTGGATGTTTAAAATGGAAGGGTTTTTTTTAATTTTTAAAAATGGTCCCTGCACAACTCCTTTTTCCATATAAACAGCTAATTTTGCAGCTCAGAAGTTTTAACCACAGTAAGTTATTGTTGTTTGTGTTGTTGCTATTGTTCTGTTGCAAAGTTGTGTCCAACTCTTTGTGACCCCATAGACTGTAGCACACCAGGCCTCCCTGTCCTTCACTATCTCCTGGAGTTTGCTCAAACACATGTCCACTGGGTCAGTAATGCTATCTAACCATGTCATTCCCTGCTGCCCCCTTCTCTTCCTGCCTTTAATCTTTGCCAGCCTGTGAGTCAGCTCTTTGAATCAGGTGGCCAAAGTATTGGAGCTTCAGCTTTAGCATCAGTCCTTCCAATGAGTATTCAGGGTTTGTTTCCTTTAGGATTGACCACAGTAAGATGGGAGATAAAAACCACTGTTAAGAAAAGTGCTGAAAGGGGAGAGGAAAAAGCTGAAGGAGTCAACGCTAACTGGAGTTTCAAAATAAAACAGAAACTGTGCTGCTTGGAACAGGATATAGAAGGTGGAAGCAGCAGCCCTCTGGGGGTGGGAATTGCCCTTTTGATCACAAATTGCATCAGCCAGCCCATTTGCAAGCTGTTAGAGGCGAAATGAAAAATGTGTGACCAAGAGAGTCAGAACCGAAGAAGGCAGAAGGGTCCCACTCAACAGGGCCGTTGACCCAGCATGGCCTTGGCTGTTTTACTTCTGTCATAAGTAAGACCACTGTGGTGACTCAGTACTATAAGGAAATTTTTGGCTCCATATTAACTTTCCAGATGACCTTGACTGACACTTGATTCTGCCATTTTGAATATTTTATCCATTAATAGTTTTCTTAAGATGGCTAGCTGAGTGAAAAAGTTTTACACTAAATCTGTTGTGGTAATTGTTCTACGATGTATGTAATTCAGGTCATTTTTATGTACACCTTAAACTTACACAGTGCTATGTGTCACCTCTATCTCAATAAATCTAAAAGGAAAAAAAGTTTATGTACCACAGCTTCCTCATCCATTCGTCTGCTGATGGGCATCTGGGTTGCTTCCATGTCCTGGCTATTATAAACAGTGCTGCGATGAACATTGGGGTGCACGTGTCTCTTTCAGATCTGGTTTCCT